ACAATTTTTGACCTTTGTTCATTAGTCACATTGTAAAACACAATGCGGGTTTGTTTCTACATCTTTCAAAACTTTATGTACATTTAAACTTAGTAGTTTTCCAAATATACAAATGAACATAACTGACTTTAACTATAATTCTTCGATTATTTCACTTTATACAAAAATCATAAGTTACAAAACATTATTCTGTGATTATATTATATAAAACTCACGTTTTCGTCATAGTCAAATATACTGTCATGTAAGTAAAATTAACAAGTATCATACATACTTAACAAAAACTTCAGGTACTATAAGCATTATAGTTTAAAAATTACTAGATTAGTTTCATACAAATTATGTCCATTCCAACTCAGTGTGTAAGATTTTACATAGTTTATAAATGATAATGTAAAATTCTTGCACTTTAAAACTATTCATCAAAAGTTCAGTTTAATTATCTCACGTTATAATTTCCATAGACTCAGAAAACATAATTAACGGATACGAAACAATGTTATGGTGACAACTAAAATCATTGTTGCTATTGTTACGTCTCCGTTCCCTACTTAATTTTCCGTAACTTCGTTCTGACGAAACTTTAGCGACACAAGTCCTTTTTTAATAAAACTGGTTTATTCTTTCTGAATATAACCTTGCAATACACTTAATTTCAACAGTCGCGCTATAACAAACGTCTCACGTGCTTCGCTTCAACAATACTCAATTACACACTCTCTGACTGCAGTTCAATTACTCATCCTTCCCGTCGCCTCGTGGCCGGTCTTATATACAAGACTAACACATATCTAGTAAATGCTAGGGCATTCATGAAGGAACAGGATATTTCTAGAAACAGGTGGCGTGATACTAGTCACGTGACCTCGCTGACGCCTCTCCTTAGTATTGTTCGTCCCGAACAATAGCCACTTACAATAAACCAATAACAATAACTTAATTAAGTGTACAGAATTACAAACACAAAATTACAATTCAACAAAGTCTCTTAATTTTATGGGACATATCTTCTTCCGTACTGGTCATCGTCTCGTTGGCTTCTACTTCATGTGGGGTTCATCTGCTTCATCAGGAAATGTCCTATCGTCGATAACAGTCACGTCAGTAGCAGTAACTTCATCAAGAGCTTCACCGTTTCCCTTCTCAAAACTGAGTAGAGTTTCTTCTTCGACAGTGGCTTTTTCAGGTGACACGTCTTCAGCAGCGTCTTTTGTTCCATTGTTCACTTCGTCCCAACTGAAATGTCCTGGACCGTGATAATGCCAAAGCCTGTTGGCATGCACCACCTTTGGCTTACCTCGCCGACCACATCTTATTCAGAAAGTCACGTCTGAGAGATGATCCACTATGTCATATGGGCCTTCCCATGGAGAAGACAACTCAGGAGACTTCTCTTTGGTCTTCCTGGGATTATACAACCACACCTTGTCTCCTGGTACAAAGCTGACTTCTTATCATAACATAGCTTCATCGAATCAGCAGACGTTTTCAAGTTTGAATGCACTTGATGGTGAATATCATCCAACCTTTCAGATAACACTCTCACGAACTCTGACACATTTTCAGGCAACTCTTCGTCAGGTGGTCATCCTTACAGATCCACTGGCAACCGAAGTTCCCGACCAAACATCAACTTTGCTGGAGTGTATCCAGTGGCTTCATGCTCTGCTGTTCTACAGGCCATCAACAATGGAGGGAGTAAG